GGTTGATTGTTCTAAGGAGTGCACCTCCCAAAGTAATTGTTCATCTGGTAGTCTTGTCTGTTATTTGCCTGAGAGTTAAGCCACAGGAGTGAGTTTGATTCCAGGCCTGAAGGGTGACTACGGGCATAGTCTTGGGGACTTCACCAGTCTCTATCAGACTAAAAAACCAAAACCAAACTCACTGCTGTTGAGCCGGATCCAACTCATAGCGACCCCTCCTTGGATTTCCGAGGCAGTATCTCTACGGAAGTAGGTTGCCTCATCTTCCTTCTGAGGAGTGGCTGGTAGGTATGAACCTCCAGGCTTCTGGTTAGCAGTCAAATGCCTTAGGCACTATGCCACCAGCAAAACCAAAAAACCCACTGCCATCGAGTTAATTCTAATTCATAGTAACCCCCATTGAGTTTCCAAGGCAGTAAATCTTTACAGAAGTAGATTGCCTCATCTTCTTTACATGGAGTGGCTGGGGGTTTGAACCACCAACCTCTGGTTAACAGTCAGATAGATGCCTTAGGCACTGCACCCCCAGAGCTCCTTATATCAGACCAGTAAGCCTTTTTTTCTTTTTTTTTTTTACGATTTTGCAATTTGTTCCACATTTTTCTCCCACTCTATCCAAGACCTCCAATTTTGATCCCATTTTAAGTGGTGAGTTGCCTATGCAACTTTTGGAAACGAGTGAATATGGTGTCAAAAAAGGTGTAAATTGAACTCTTTGCAGCCATTTCCTGCTCTTGAATTTGGTGTCTTTAGTTTAAGAGCTGCATAAGATACAGTTTACACTAGTTATGTTTACAAGTCAATTTACACAGCTGAATTTTGGTTTGCCAAAATTAAATATATGGTGTCCCTTAACCAGTTTTAACTAATTTTTGTTTAAATAATAATGATAATAACCAATAGGTGGGAGAATTGTGGGACAGAAATAGGAAGTAGAAAGTCAGATGTCTTGGGCAACAGTGTTGGAAGGGGAGGAAAGCAAAGAAACTGCTTTGCACAGCCCTCAGCCAGCTACAGAGCAAGCAGAATGTCAGTGGCTCCACCCTCTCCTTTTAGCAGCCTTCGCCAGACACACACACACACACACACACACACACACAAACAGAGTCTCCTTCTCTTCCTGCCCCCCTCTCCTCCTCTTTTCTTCCTCTCTCTCTCCCTCCCTTTCTACCCCAGCAAACCTAGCCATAGGCTCCTGTGGGCCCTCCCATTCACTGAAACCCATTCATGAACTGCTTCACCCAGATTGGCCTAGGACCAGCCATGTTTAGTGTCAGGAGTATAAGTATTTTTCTTTTTAGTGAGTCTGAAAACCTCAAGAAGAGTAAAGTTCTAGTAATGGCCTTTCTCCACTACCCAGCTGTCACTTTGTCATACTGTGGTTGTTGTATGTTGCTGTGGTGCTGCTGGAAGCTATGCCACTGGTATTTCAAATATCAACAAGGTCGGTCACCCGTGGTGGACAGGTTTCAGTGGAGCTTCCAGACTAAGACAGACAGAAGAAAGCCCTGGTGATCTGCTGAAAAGCAGCCAATGAAAACACTATAAATCACAACCGAACATTATCTGATACAGTGCTGGAAGAAGAGTCCCCTAGATTGGAAGGCACACAGTGACCACAACATGGGATTCGTATATACCAGCAAGTGTGAATATGGTGCAGGACAGAGCAGTGCTTTCACACTGCCATAAGTCAGCACCCACTCGATGGCAACTAAGAACAACACTACTTTTCTTGCCCCCAGGGATCTTTCAAGCTGCCCTAATCTTTCATATCACAAGTGAATATCAGTCACCAACTGATATTGCTGTGAGTTGGTTGCAAGGGAAGAGTTAGAGTTTTAAAGAAACACAGACAGCAGCGGGGGACTCTGAGGAAGTGACTAATGACAGGAGTTCAGCTGCCTGTGTGCCACCCACAGGGTATGCAGCTTCTGTCCGCAAGAAGGGAAAAGAAGGCTGGAGGCAAAGCAATGATGTGCATCTGGGGCCAGTGTAAGAACAGACAGAGAGGCAGGGGGTAGGGAGAAACAAGACAGTCTACCTTCTCTCACCTCTCCCTGAAAAGAGTAGGAATCTTGAGCAGAGGGAAAAGCTGTGCTGATGTGCTTTAGAAGCATCAAGACTTGCAATTTTTAAATGGGGGCAAGGTTCAGGCTGGCTTGGAATCTTCTGAATCTACCCCTTTCATACAAAATTAGAAGACTTTAAAACTGGGCAAATGATAAGCAGAACAAAGCTTTCTACAACATAACAAAGGCTGTAAAAGAGGATGCTTTGAGGGGCGGCCTTTGGGGTACTTTGTAAAGTTGGGGTTGGTGGCTGACATTGAAAGACATTAACCAACATTAAGCCAGGGAAGTAAACCAAACCAAACCAAACTCACTGCTGTCGAGTTGATTCCAACTCAGCAACCCCCTTGGGTTTCCTAGGTGGTAAATCTTTATGGAAGGAGATTGCCCAGTCTTCCTTCCACAAAGTAGCTGGTGGGTTTGAACCTCCAACCTTCTGGTTAGCAGTCAGATGTCTTACGCACTATGCCACCAGGCAGGAAGTATATAGAGCCCAAAACACCAGCTTTCAGAACAGGAAACCTGAGTTCTGGTCCTGGTTCCACCATCTCCCCTTGTTGCCTTAAAGAAATCACTTATCTTATTTGGGCCTTCATTTCCTTATTTCCACACTGTTGTTGTTGTTGTTGTTATGTGCCATCGAGTCAGCCCCGACTCATAGCGACCCCTCCTTGGGTTTCCGAGGCAGTATCACTACGGAAGTAGGATTGCCCAACCTTCCTTCCGAGGAGTGGCTGGTGGGTTTGAACCGCCAGCCTTCTGGTTAGCAGTCAAGTGATTTAGCCACTATGCTACCAGAGCTCTGCTCTTCTGCACTCACAGTGCCCTTCAGAACATGAATGCGGTTTGTGCGCTGTGAGGTTACGAATATTATTGCTGTTGTTATTGTGTGTGCTATCTGGGCCTTAGAAAGGCAAGTCCAGATGCTAGAGGTGAAGGGGAACAAGACCCAGGAGGGCCACATGGTCAGCATCCCACTGACTTAACCATTTGTAGGCAGGCAGACAGCCCACCCAGTTTCCCCAATAGAGTTTCCTCATGAAGGTAATAGATGCAACAATATTAAAGACCTTCTACTTTCACATACATGTTATCTTATTAACCCTCAAAACAAGCCCGAGGCCAGGAATGTATCCTGATCGCACTTTGACAGAGTAGGTAACCAAGACCAGCACAGTGACTTTACCAGGGCCACAACTAGTGATTGACAATCAGCCTCCTGTGTCATCTCACAGCTGTCCTATCCCAGCCAGAGCTGAGTCTTGACCACACACAATGACCAGAGTTGGGAATTAGGGAACCCTGGTCCCAGGGAGCTGGGCTTGGTTGGGTGCACTGTTCTTTCTATAGTTCACAGCATTTGCTGAGAGTAGCACATTTTATGTGCTTTCTTTTTCTCAAGAAGTCCCAGCTGTAAGCGGAAACGGGGTCGCGGGTACAAGGCGGGCAGGTCCTAAAGTGCTTCCTGCCCCACCTTTGCACTTGAGCCTGGAATCTTGAAGGTGGCTGGATTTCAAGTCCAGACACCAGCAGGCTTATGAGAAAGCCCCCCTTCTTCTGATTGCAGGGGAAGGGAGGGCCTTCAAGGCCCTCCACCACAAAGTGGCTGCTGAAGGAGAAGCAGGCCCAGATAGGGAACCTCCATCAACACAGTCTGGATCCTTCTGCAGGGCCAGATGTGGGTTGTCCAGACTTGATTGGTAAGGGAATTCCAATGGAGAAGCCCAGATTTACACAAGAGCTTACCTGGACCCCAAAACTGAAAAACATGCCATAAAGGAACTGTAATAGTTGAGGTCAGTGAGCTCCATGACCCTCAGAACTATCGAGGCTCTGCAGGTCTAGGTTATTGCAACCAATGTACCTTTCTGTCACCAGACCCTTCCTCCACTCAGCCTACTGGCTCCTAGTGAACTTAACTTCCAGCAAATTGTGCTTAGGCAAGCAGGGATACCATTGCCCTCAGTGTGAATTCCTAACCCCTCACCCTGGCATTCTAGGCTCTTCATGATTTTAACACTTCCCTTGCCTCACTGTTTGTTGTTGTTTGCCGTC